TTGGGCTGGAAGCGGGAACAGGGACAAGTTGAATTGGCGGTGGGGGGAGGGGCGGCCAGGACTGGGAATAGGGAGGGGGTGTGGTCCCAGTGGTCACAGTGGGGCACCCACCTCACCCCTCCAGCCCGAGGGGGGACAGGGGCGGTGGCAGTGAAGCTGGGGGGCCCGAGGCTGCCCCGGGGGCCCTGCTGTACCTCCAGATAGTAGAAGATGAAGAAGAGTGTCTCGGTCGACAGGCGCTGTAGAACTCCACAGTGTCTGAGTGTGGGGGTGGCATCTGGTGGTGGTAGAGGCTGTCGGATAGGGGTTCTGGGGAAGTACTGCCTGTGGGAGCAACAGGAAGGTCAGTGCCAGCTGCCTACTAGTCCCGCCCTGATCAAAAGGGTGCTCAGAACTGCATCCCCATGGGGGAGGTGGTACAGAAAGACCCAGGGCGGTGCTGACCTTCAGTGGAGAGCCCAAGTCAGGGGCCTGGCACTCTACCCACAGCCTCACAGGTTTAGCCACTGCCTCCTTGCTAAGACTCGAGCCCCAGCCCACCCCCCTTCTCTGTGGCCCTCACCGGATACGCTCAGAGTCAGAGGGGTGGGGCATGTGGTGCCAGGCGGCCTCTTCCATGGCCTGCTGGTAGAGCTGCTCCTTGGTGAGGGGCACAGGGCCCAGCGGACAGACACCCAACGACAGCGGTATGTTCACCTCTGACAGCTGCAGGGGTGGCTGAGCTGAGGCGGGAGGTGCTGATGTGCTGCTCAGGATGATGTCTATGGGGAGAGGTGGGGGTCCGGCCCCTCAGTAGTGAGGATGGGTTAGGGGCCAGCCCCTCCTCTTTGGCCCACTGCTTCCCTGCCATCCTGTGTTCCTCACCTCGCTCAGTCAGGTGCAGCATTGGCACAGGGTCCTCAATGCCAGAGCCGATGGCTGCCCGTTCCGCCATGGACTTCAAGGAGCTCAGTGTGGACCTGATCTAACTGCCTGGGCCTCCCAAAGTGCTGGGATTACAGGCATGAGCCACCATGCCCAACCTCCTTATTTTTTCTGACAGAAACTTTATGCTTTGAACATCAGTCTCCAGCTCTGTGGCATTCCTACATTTCTTCCCCAGTTTATGACACATTTACAGTCTTATTTTCCTCCTCAATCTTTAGCAATGGAGGACTCTCCTCATGTCCCCATAGCAGAAACATCAAAGGCAAAATATCCAGGTTGGGAATTCCTGTGCCAGGAACAAATCACCTGTTCAGCAGTCTTTTCCAAATGAGGAGAATCCTAAAAAGGAATCTGGAGGAAACAACACCTTTCTCAAAATTTTCTTATCTGTGAGATTTTGTGAAAGATTTTTTTAAGTGTAAATGATGGTAAAAGGATGGCCCTGAAATGTCCCCAACCTTCTGGCACAGAAGGCTTTTCTTTGTAAAGCTTCTCTTTGAGCTCACAGCAGACTATTTACACTACAAAAATAGCATATGCTTGTTTATTGTAAAAACAGTCACAAAATACAAAGCAAAATGTTAAAGTCCCCACTTTCCTTTCCAACTCTCTAAAGGTAATTACTGTTAAAGGATTTTTAAGACAGTCTTCTATGCTTGTATAAGTCTATGTGTCTCTCTGCATGTAATGAGAGCATTTTTTAAAACAAGAATGAGATTAGCTGGGCTTGATAGTATGTCCCTGTAGTCCCAGCTACTCAGGAGGCTGAGGCAGGAGGATTGCTTGAGCCCAGAGTTCGAGTTTAGCCTGGGCAACACAGTGAGACCCCCGTCTCTAAAAAAATAAACAAAGAAAGATTATACCAGACATTGTTCTGTGATTTGTTTTATTCCTCATACCATACACTTGTGTATAGATATATTTCTTTCCATGTCAATACATACAATTATACTCCCTTCTATCAGTAGCTGAATAATTTTTCATTATGTGGACATACCACAATTATTGAACTTTCTACATTTACTAGGCTTTTGCATTATTAAAATGGCACAATATATTAAATGTATTTATAATATATATATTTATGTAAGAAATATAAAAAATATATATTTTTAATGTTACATTTCCCTGATCACTATTGAAGTTAAACATGAACATTTCCGCACACATTTATTAACCATTTGCATTTCCTCCATAAATTGTTTATTTTCTTTGCTTATTTTCAATTCTTAATTTATTTTTATTTTTTGAGACAGGGTCTTGCTCTGTTGCCCAGACTGGAGTGCAGTGGTCAGATCAGAGCTCACTGTAGCCTCGTCCTCCCAGGCTCAGGTGATCCTCTCACTTCAACCTCACTTGGCTGAGTGTAGTCAGCTGGGGCTACAGGTGCACACCACCATATTTGGCTAATTTTTGTATTTTTTGTAGAGGTGGGGTTAGACTATGTTGCCCAGGGTGGTCTTGAACTCCTGGGCTCAAGTGATCCTCTTGCCTCAGCTTCCCAAATTGCTGGGGTTACAGGTGTGAGTCACCATGCCGGTTTCTTTGCCTAATTTTATATAAGGTTGTCATTTCATTGATTTGAACTTGCTTGAGTGTGTTTGCAGTGGTTTTCAATCGTGGCCACACACTAGAATCACCCAGGGAACTTTTAAACAACAGGCTCTACCCTGTGAAATACTGTGATTCCAATGGGCTGTGGTGATGTCCAGGTGTTGAGTTTTAGACTTTCTGGGTGAATCGTATGGGCAGTGAAGGTGGAGAGTTCCTGGTCCAGGCGATTTAGATAGCAGTGGATGATTAGGTAGGATGGAATGCAGGGTCACAGGGAATAAGAAGTCAAGGAGCTAAGAGGCCAGGGTGTTGGAAGAATTGTGTATACGGCTGTATCAGTCTGCTTGCACTGCCATAAGAAAATACCACAGGTGGATTGGCTTCAACAACAAAGTTTATTTTCTTACAGTGTTGAAAACTAGAAAGTCCAAGATCAAAGTCTGGCTGTTTTCCTAGCTTGCAGCCAGACACTTCTCACTGTGTTCTCGAATGGCAGAG